CGAGCAGTAATGCGATACAAGCGTGGAAAGAAAATTATAGCGTTTTACTGCTGCCTAATTTAAAATAATTTAATAAAACATCACATATATCCTATTTGCTCTGTTAGCAATGCAGTTTTATTTTTTCTCCCATTTGAGATTTATATTTCTGTAAAATTTCCGTTTTTCAAAGTGTGGTTACAGCAAGCCTTATGCTTTAAATTTGCAAACAAACTGGCATCGACAAGTAGTAGCATCTATTCTGGACAAATCATATTGTAGCAGCTATTGTTTTAATTAGCAAGATTTATAGTAATTAGTAGTAGTTTTAAAATCTTGATATTAGTAATTGATGTCCATATCCTGAAAGCTCTTCTTGTAAAAAACATGCCAGTCACTTTTTTTTATTTTATCATTTTTTTGTCCTTTATAGAACAATTTGTATATTATACGAGGGGCGTTCAATGAGTAATGCCCCTGACCCATTTCCCATAGCAGGAGATTAATGAAACTTGGCACAGTTATTAGTATTTCTTTACATAGGAACCACCCAGAGTTATGCATTTCTCCCATCGTTTGATGTAGCTCTGAACACCATTTTTGTAGAACACCCCAGGTTGGTCCTCCAAACATGTTGTAACTTCAGAAATCAAAGGTGCATCATCTGGGAAACGCTTTCCTTTCAAAAACAACTTCATGGCTGGGAAGAGATGAAAGTAAGAGGTCAGGAGAGTAAGGGGGATGGGGAAGGATTTCATAGCCACACCCTCGTGCTTCTGATCTGACGACATGCGAGTTGTGGACCGAACATTGTCCTGTAGGAGGAGAATACCTTTGCTGATCTTGACCGTCACTTGATTTTGATTTCATCAAAAGTGAAGCGTAATAGGATCCTCACAACTCCGTCCTGGTCCCATAAGACTGTGAGCATGACCTTGCCAGCAAAGGGCTGCACCCTTGCCTTCTTTGGAGGTGGTGAGTCCAAGTGCTTCCATTGCATTGACTGGGCTTTGGTCTCTGAATCGAGTCATCATGGGCCCAAGTTTCATCCTGTGTAATTAGTCTTTTGAAAAACTTTTCTTGGCACATCTCCAAATTCATCCTCGACCACTCGTTCTTGCTTCTGGAAAGCTGTGAGCAACCTGGGAATCCATCTGGCAGACACCTTATGCATATGCAAAAGGTCATGAATGATATTTAACACGGACCCTCTACTAATATTGACCTCTTGGCTATTTGGCGAACAGTAATGCGTCGACCTTGGGAATGACCCAGCTCACTACATTAGTAGACTTATTCTGATTTAACAGTTGCTGCTGCATTTTCTGGTTTTAAGGCTGCTTTCGACGGAACAAAATAAGAACTTGCTGATTGTCAGGTTTCCCTTTTTCAAGGTCGTCATGTCTACATGGCTGACATTATTTAGAATGTTGTATTTATGGAGAAAGGGCATTCACTGAGCAGGGGCATGTAATCTTCTGGTTCGATATGAGAAAATTAGTTTGAGACCACCACTACCTGCGCAGCTAGTCATTTTGAGGATCTCAACAGAAGCAGCTGTCAACCATAATGCCAGAACCAATGCTACTAGACACAGTTGCACCAATATAATATGGTAAACTGGAGACAACCATACAGCAACATGGTCAGTCTTGTTGGGGGGGGGGGGGGTAGGAACTATCGTGGTAACTGAGAACATGGTCATTGAGGTGGATGTGGTTGGGGTCTGGAGCAACAAAAGACGGTTTTAAATTGTCAGTATATGTGTTTACAGTGGCGTGAATTCAATTTGCTTTCCAGCCACCAGTTCCTGTGGCATAACATTTTTTGGCATAGCATTTTACCATCTTAGCAAACTAGTTAACTGTCACAAAGAACTTGTGAGACCTTTCAGTAGTAAAATATAGCTGCAATAAATTAGCCCGAAAGCCACAATTGACCGTATCCAAATGTCAATGTCTCCGCCAAAAGTGTAAGCTTCATTTTCCAGAAAATGTGAAAATTGTTGGCAAAGGACTCCCGGCTTTTGTGTTATATACCCATGTTTTGGTGGACAATATAGACGAGGGGGTGCCCCAATTAGAGAACAAAGACAGCTGAATTAGTATATTCCCACAGAGCACTCAATCTTTAATATATTTGATTCAAGTGACAAGATATTAGTAGTATATTTGCCCAATGTAGCACCACATGTTTTCCCAAAAATACTGGCTGTGGCTGCCCAGCAGGTCGATAAAGTGAATCCATATCCACGTCCGGTTTGGATGGTTTTTAGCACATATCCTACAAACCATCATACTCATTTAGCATTACAGGGCAAATATTCTGTTTCAAGTGTATATTTTGCATGCACATCTGCATAGCTCAGAAAATTAATGGGCTTTGTGGAAATTCCTTCTTCCATGAGAGGCATTGTGCCTCAAACAACCCTCAGGAGTATGCCCTGTCCAAGTAATATTACACAAAGCCCAGCGGCATGGGTCGCCATATGAGAAACAATTGCCCTAATGTGGGTGGATGTAACCAATATAAGACAAGTGTTATGTAAGGCATAAATTAATTGTAAAATAATACAGAAAGATTTAAATGTATTTTGGTTTAGAAATTAAATTCAATTCAATAGCGCCCTCCACTGTATCTGGTTAGATGTGGTTTTGGCCGTTGGTGACGTTTTTTAATCCACAATGCTTTGCACAAGAAAGCTGTGGATTTTGCTTACTTATTGGTTTGACGTCGACGTGGGTAGTTTCAAGTCGTTCCAAGTCGTCCGAAGTCCGTACCTGTACGCAATATCAAGACGAAGGAAAGTCGCTCTACAAGTTTCGTGATATATCAAAGACCGGCCACGTTGTGGAGATTCGTTAGACATTCGGACCAGCTGGAATATACTTGACATTTATTTGATAAGTAGACCCTATTATTTTCTGTACTTATATAGCATATTATTTTTAATGTAACTTTATCTATATATTTGAGTTGTGTGAATTCATTTATATGTTCATGGCCATATTAATGGTTTATTCACAAGTACTATAAATGAAATGAAAATATATTATCCTATACATTTGTGTCATTATTTGGTAATAGTTCAACCCGGGAAACATATGGGAATTTGTCAACCATTGGCTCTTAGTCGAAATCGTGACACAATGATCGCAGGTTGATCCACAAACTCCGGCCATATTACTGGCCACGGACGCCTTGAAAGTATGTCCCCTTAGAAAGAACAGCTCCACGTAAACATACTAAATATTTTGGGAGGGTACTAGATTGCTTACTAGACGAGGTACAGAATAAAGCAGTTTGAAAGGGTGAAAAATTTCACTTATCATTCACAACTTTATATTTTATATCATAAACTTTACAGTTTGCTTTCTCCAGGCCCCTCCAATCTCTAGGTGTTTCTGCTAATTAAGAAGCTGGAATAGGATGAGATAAAGAAATAGTCATGGAATGTTTATGATATGTACGGATAGGTGTACTTTGTATTGCAAACATTCCTTCTAATACGGATAGGTGCACTTTGTATTACAAACATTCCTTCTAATATTATTAACTGTGGCACTGTTATTATTATCTGTGGATGATTCTTTGTAAAACGCCATATATTGCCCCAAGACATTTTTCTCTGAATATTTCCACTCGTTCAACATTTCATTTTGTGAGAAGAAAAACAAAATTCCACAAAACTGGGTCAATATTATTTATGACTTCATTGATATTAAGTTTAGACAGATTAGGATGACAACTGTGTTTGGCAGTCAATCTATTTGCTTGGTTTTACAGTCTCCCATCCAGATCCTCAGTATTATGCTGCATAACAAATATATATTGAGCTTGGAACTTTTAACTTTTCTTTTTTGTCCTACAACAATAGTTTTTTTCAAGTTGTGTGTATGTTTCCTGTATTCGGTCAATGTACCAGTTGTATTGTGATATAGCGTATGTTGATATACTATTGTCCGATCTTTTCTGTGATTGGGCAATGCCATTTTGGGCGGAAACAGTGACTCTAAGGCTAAGCTAGTCTTAAAAATTAAGTTTTATTACACAGTAATTTCAGAATATATACTATGTAGAGCTATATACACATTAGATTAGTCTGACTGAAGAACGGGCACAAGAAACTGAAGGAATTGTAAAGTATCAATAGTTTCAATATTTATTTATTCAATTCAAGACATCTCAAATATTAGGATAGTTTTTTTCTCTAAAAATGACACGCAAGGTGCCTGGGCGCCGCCATATTGATATAGTCGATATATTCTATATTTGGGTACGATTTAATACTATTAAGGGAGCTCGTGAAAACACTTATACTTATATACTCTCTAAGAAAGGTCACACTTGACACATTCCTTTCAGGCCATGATTTTCATGCAGTGTTTCTGTCACAACTATCACGAGGTTTTGCATGTAATAAATCAATCTCAAAAAGAATCCAGACGTGCTCACCCGTGTTAGAAACAAAATCCGGGAGAACAATGGGTTTAACATGTCACAAATCGACTGAAACTACCTCTGAGAAAAGGCATAACGGTTACTGAGTAAGCACATTCAAATCATACTCTGTAATATTTATGTTAATGACTGAAAGCTCACCTTTAGAAAGATCTACTTTCTTCATATGCATAATATGTTACAAACAATGCCAATGTTATTCTGCTGCATATTACTTTGTAATAAACATAACATATGAAATAATGGTCATAACATATTCTTAAAATAGCCACAAAAGAGATTAATATTGATTTACGATGTTTAAGGAGATAGGGTGAATTTCACATAAGTACATGAATTATAGACTGATCACAATTTAATCTGTAAGAATCGTGTTCAGATAGTTTGCCTCTTCGATAACGTTCCTCATCGACAGCAACGTTTAAAAGCACAAAGTCTAAAAGATGTAAATTGGGTATTATCTAACATTGATAACGTTCACATAATATTTAACTTCATGACTTGTCAGTCTCAACAACATGTTTGATTGACATACAGTGGCCTTGAAGATCGCTGCCAAAATGGTTACATTTTCCAACACCCAATGGTTCAGTGCTGTTGTTACAGCGTGTGCGATCTCTTCAGTCTTGTGCTGCAACATCCTAATTTTGCCAGGTCCCTCGGCGGGAAATTTCTACGTTACCATATCGAGATTTGGAGAACTCTTTGCCATGAGAGGTCACAACGTAACCGTTTTGATAAATGACCTATTCTACCAAAGATTTGCAGGGTTGATGAAACAACAACGAACATTTATGAATTTTGAAGAGTATGAATGCGGCTTCAGTGATACGCCTGTTGAATACGACATACTCACAAAAAGTACACAAATCATGCCATCTATTTTGGAGGCGCTTCGCGTTTTTGAAGTTATGGCAGAAGAAACGAATGCCTTTATTGAAGACGGTAAACTCATAGAACGCTTGAATGCCTCGAACTTTGATCTAATTTTTGCCAATGTCTTCAACCCAGGCTACGCTCTTATTGTTGACATATTGCGTGTACCGTTCATCAGTGTCTCTACTGCAAGACCGTTACCGATGATAGACGATTTAATTCATGGTTTGACGTCAAACCCTGCATATATACCAGCTGTAACGACAGGATACTCAGATAAGATGACGTTTCCTCAGAGACTGAACAATGTATTTGCATACCTTGCATCGGCTGCAATACTTGAGTTTGTTGTGTTAAAACCTTTCAAAATTGTACAACAAAGGCATAACATTCGACCAGAGCTTTCATACAGAAGTTTATGTGGAAATGCGGAGTTAGTACTTTTTTGTTCTGATTTTGCATTTGATTATCCCCGGCCCATGATGCCTCACGGTATTTACATTGGGTCATTGACAGCAAGAACACCGGACCCTCTCAGTCAGGTGAGTTCCGTGAAAATTGTACACGAAGTTTGATACAACAATGAAGTAAAGTCGAACCTGGGTGAGAACTATGTATGTGTTGCGTCCAATAGCCTTGTAACAGAGAAGAAGGGAAGTACACGTAAACCACTTGTGATCACGTGACCTGTTGTTCGAAAATTCAATTCAATAACATATTCTTAAAATGGTCACAAAAGAAATTAATATTGATTTACGACGTTTAAGAAGATATGTGAATTTCACATAAGTACATAAATTATAGATTGATCACAATTTAATCTGTAAGAATCGTGTTTAGATAGTTTGCCTCTCCGATGACGTCCCTCGTCGTCAGCAACGTTAAAAAGGCACAAAGTCTTAAAGATGTAAATTGTGTATTATTTAGCAACATTGATAACGCTCACATAATAACAAACGGATGCCTTTATTCAAAACCCTCATTATGTATGCTGATGTAAAGGTCTATATATAGACAGTGGGAGTATATATAGGGGAGTTATTCAGCACTGAGTTCAGATCGGAGATCTCGTTGAATTGTATTGGAGTTTAAGTATCTAGTCATTGGAGTAGTGGAGTTTTACCGCGTTATTGTACTTGGTGTTTGCAGAGTATAATAATACCAGTACCAGTTGAAACCTCATCTGTAATATTACGTTGCGTGTGACAGCCATTATGGTGCTGTGGAATGTTTGCATGTTAATTGTTTCTTTAATCTTTAAAGACGATTTGACTTCGTCCAAGGTGGAGTTGATGACGAAATTGTCTTTTCATGGTTATTGAAAGCAGTTGGATAAGCACGAGTTTGAAACCCCTGAAATCAACCACAGCAAGTAGTGCCGACAGATGAATTTCATTTTGATTGTGATTGGTTTGAATTATTTATGAGCAACTGGCAATACATTCTTTGCAGTTGTGTAAATTACCCTGCGTTTAGAGGCGTGCATGGAATAATAAAACTGATTGCTGAAACATTTCAATTGGTAGACAACTGGATGCATGCTAACTCAACTGTATGAGTTGATTTTTGATGGAATGCAACATGTTGGTCTGGATAAATCATACGTATATCAGGTGTGCTAACTAAAGTTCGTTGACCTTCTTTCTAAAATGGAGTTATGCGGTAACAAGCAGAATTATGCTGTGGCTTCTTATGACCGGTGAAGAAAGAAAAAATAAACATAGCCATATTTATGAAAACAAATGTAAATCGTGTTATATTAAGCAAAAAGTTGTTGTGCTAATGATTAACATTTGCATTTAAGGTCAGCTTGGCTGTCACTCTAGAATATTTCAATCCGTTTTTTTTTGTTCGTGTTTATATAAGTTTGTTTATGAACCACCAAATAAAAGTTGGTAACATATATTTATTCATTAATTTCAGAAGCCCTTCAACAACAATAATAAACAATAGTGGATCTATGTGGCACAAATGTTGTGCCTTTGAATGATAATCAGTTAACACACACATTTTTGTGGTATTTTTAATTCACAGTGAGGCGAAAATTAGAAATATGATTGATATTCAAGCAGTGTTTTCCGTTTTGTTTCCTCCGTAGGAATGGACCGAATTCGTCGAATCGGCTGAAGAAGGAATTGTAGTATTTACACTTGGTTCACAGGTTAACATCGGCGAAGACATGGAAAAGGCAACTAAGTTTGTTAGAGCGTTTGCTAGATTGCCACAGAAAGTGATTATGAAATACGTTGGAAATCCACCAAATGGACTTGGTGAGAACACTAAACTCAGCAGTTGGATTCCGCAAAATGATCTCCTAGGTAATACATAGACAATATCTCATGAGTGACCCTAGTATATTACTTGTATCAGTATATCAGCTTTCTGAACTCCAAAATGATAAAGGAATCGTAATTTGTGACAGCGCTCCCAAAACGTACCTCTAAACGACATATATGTATCTAGACTAAAATATATAAGGTAACATCCTAGAATATATGTTTGTGGATGCAAAAATGCTAAATCTCAGATATGTACTTTATGTAGAAATATTAGTACAAGATAGTGATAGATCATTTCATACTTAAAAAATGAGAACAGCTAACACGTAGTAACATTGTCATCACTCATATAAACCATAATAACGGCATGGTGCTGTGGAATGCTTGCCAGTTAATTGTATCTTTAATTATTTGTCAGTCGTTTATTTTTTTGATACTGTTTTGTGAGTCATTCGCCTGTGAACTGGGATGTACTTGTTAGTCAGAATGACATATGGAGAAGCAGAGTGTGCTCTCTCCTTGTGGTATAACGATATTTGTAACACTGAATTTACACTTTGTTTTGTGTTTTTGGACTATCGTAAATTGCAGTTTAATGTAGCAATCCAATCGTTTATTTAAAATGGTCTGAGCAACTCAAATCAAAACATATTTATGGCAGACTATATAATTTCTGAAAGCTGAAATATTCAGAATTTTGATAATTCATGTTTTGAAAAGATTGTTTACATATCGAGCATGTGAGTGGAGATAAACTGGATCCTGTCAAAATCACAAAATTTCTGCCCGACGATTTAACCTTTTGATAGGGGGTTTTCAGAAGAATTTCGCTGTGACAGGTTCTTATAAAGTACGTACAAACAGCTCCGTACAAACGTGTCGTCTTCTAAATCATCGGCTGTACCCACTCAGTCTGACTAGTTTCTTCACTCATTGGTTCAAAATACTTTTTTTAAACGACCTCTCTTCTTTCTCATGTTAAAATAATGTAGCTTTGCCTTGACGAAAAAATAGATTTTGGTTGTGTGTACGCTCTTTCAAAAATGAATATGTATATACGGAAACTGTTGACACTGACAGTATAACGGAAACTGGTAAGATTGGGTTTCATTTGCAATAGCAAACAACGCAACAGATTACTTAACACAACGTAATGCCATTGTTCACAATATGTCAAGCATTTGAACTATGTAAATAAATATGTGGTTGTTTGCATTTTAAATGACAGATGGAAGTCAGCTTGTTGTGCTCAGTTTTCTCTCCATTTTACGTCTAAAATAACATTAGTACTGTTTTTGTACTAACAACTAATAGCTGTACTGAACGAATGTACTAAAAGGAAGTGATATACCGATTATTGAAAAAAACATGAAAATTTCACCAGTTTTCCCCTGTTGCCCCGTGTATTATAGTGTATACATATTCGGAATAACGACTTTGCTATTTGTTCAAACATATGTAATAATTGTTCTTACTTACCCCATATGTTCAATAGGTCACCCAAATACTAAAGCATTCATAGGCCATGGAGGTATCAATGGAATAAATGAGGCTATCTATCATGCAGTGCCTTTTATTGGCGTGGCGACATTCGGAGATCAGTTTGAAAATACAAGAAGACTGGTCGACAAAGGGATGGCAATTGTTATAGATTTGAAATCTTTTACAGAAGATGATGTCTACAATGCTGTGAAACAAGTGATCGAAGACCCTAGGTAAGGGACTCTTACTGACAGACTGCTAATCAGTAATATGTTATAATTAAAATTGTAACTCCATGGGTCCTTTTAAAAAAGTACAACTTGAAGATTGCACAGATACTAATTTATAGTACAAATTATTTTTGGTAGGTACAAAGAGAACGCCGCTAGATTATCCAGTATCCAGAGAGATACTCCAATGCCACCAGGAGATGCAGCTGTATTTTGGATTGAACACATTTTGAAGTTTGGCGGTGATCACCTCAAACCAGCATCCCTCCAACTGAATTTCCTGCAGTATTACCTCCTCGATATTGCAATATTTTTACTAGCCGTAGTAGCCATTGTCATTATTATCTTGCAGCAAGTGATTAGATTAATCTTTAAAATGTGTTGCAAACCAACTAATATCAAATTGAAAAGAAAGAAGGAACAGTGATGAAATTTGGGAAGGCATTATGCAAGTAGTTTTTGTAATACATACTTATAATTAGGATAAAAAAAACAGACCCAACGTTACGCATACTAGGATAATGTTGGGCGGTTGGATAGTTGTCTGAAAGTCGGCTCAAATTAGACACAGTATTCCACACATTGCCTATTATCTTCCCAATGTTACATGCATCAAGATGCTATAAATCGGATAATATAGTAATTAATTACTGTAAAACACTTTATTTTCACTTGGAATTTATTTTCGCCATTTTTCGCTGAAGGAATAATTCAGTGAAATTAAAATCCAGGGAATATACCCTATTTCCTATATTTTACATTATATTCGTCAAAAATTAGTGACAAAAATCAATACAAAACATCTAGAAATTCTAACAGCGAAAATTAATTGTAGCGAAAAAAAGATCGACAAATCGCGACGACTAGTATCGAGGCATTTCTGTGACGTAAATTGATGACGTAATCGCCGGCCAAATCGTTTTTATATGTAGTTTTTCACAAATTAATGTTATTTTGAGGGACGTTACTATACTCGTTATTACAAAGCTAGTACACAACCAAGCACAGTTGTAGAATTGAAAGACTTATGCTTAACATATACGTTATTTTGACACTACTGAAGCTTATTAGGAAGTTAATATAAGCATGACTGTTTGCACATATGGGAGGACAGTGTTCCGAAAAATTATATTTGATACGTGTCCATATATAGTGTTTTTTTATATTAAATAGTCAACGATTGTAAAGCTTTATATTCACAGCCTATTTTTTTGTCTTATTAATGACATTTTTTCAAAGTTTGTGGAAAGAACGCAGCCAATTAACACTCACATTTTAGCGGGTGATACAAAGAGTCCTACACGCCTTTTGCTCTGGCTGCACGGTTCCAAAGCACACAGAACAATTGAAATGGTATAGCGAATCGGTCGCTTAATTCCATCGACAAGGTGTCAAAGCAATTGAATTCATTTGTAACATTTACTTATTGACATGATATAAAAAAATCACTCTGGCACTAAATCCCACATCACCAATATATGCGAAGTATTGTGGTATCATTAGGCGTCACGTGAGTCATTGTCGCCTGGTTTGAATTACACATACAAAACATAGCATGGATCAATATAGGACGTATTTATACGCTACGACGTGCCGTAACATGGGACGATTGTTTTATTATCAGTGGGACTGATATGATGCGACGTGATAAACCATGGGACGATATTATTTTTATCATCAGTGAAACTGATATGTACAGAAGCGTATTGGTGCCACATTCATAGCAAAAAATCTCGTTATAACGAGTATATTTCCTCGTTATAACGAGTTTATTTTTCTCGTTATAACGAGTTTATTTTATAATTGTCTCAGCTGATGTCATATGCTGCAGCAATGGTGGATAGAGATGAACTCATTACATTTTACTTCCGCCTTAGTCTCAACTACAACGAAATATTGGTCAATGTAGCTCACAGGCACAATGTAATTTTAAGTATATGGTCCCTCAAAAGATGGTTGCGAAAGCTAGGACTCTTCAGGAGAAAAAAAAATTCACCAATATCAATTCAGGGACAAATTCAGGGATCTAACCAATTGCCAGGCTACCGATGGATACATTTAAAGTGGACTTGTTGTGCCCAGGAAACAGTGAGACTCCTGCGGAAGTTGTTGGATCCTGTCGGTGTCCTTCTTAGAAGCCGTCGTAGGCTACGACGAAGATGATATTACAATAAAGGTCCGGATTTGTTGTGGCATCTAGATGGGTATGATAAACTCAAGCCATATGGAATATGTTTCAGTGGGATTTTCCCGATATGAATGCCACAGCATCTCAATGAACCGAAAGTACATTCATGTTTAAAATAAAAGCTGAGGGCGCAGTAAATAAACTCGTTATAACTAGAAAATTACTCGTTATAACGATACAAATAAACACGTCATAAAAAAATAGACTCGTTATAACGAGATTTTTTAAAAATATTTTGCTAAGAGTGTGGCGCCAATACGCTTCCGTAGATATGCGATGACGATTAATAATAGGACTGTCATGAATTTGTTTTTGCGTATCTGTTGACCGACTTAATTAGCTGATTATTAGCGAATTGCTGTGTTATGTCTGTCATCGTTCAGGCCTATTTGAAGTTTTGGACGGAACGTGGCTCAGTGATTTAGAACTAATTACCAGATAACCGTCGCGATTTTGACAGTTGGTATCCATAGTTATTAATGTAGTGAACGATTAATCAAAAGATATGACGTATTCAGTACTTAGTGTGATTGGCTTTATGATTGAAGGTTACGCCCTAGTGTCTTTTTGCTGTTTTGTAATTGGTTAGAGTTTTGAAAATGAATAAAGAGAGTTTGAGTTGGTCTTGGGGAGCACAGCACGATAAATGCAGTAGAGAGAGTGCAGTCCTGGAGAGTCGAGTCGAGTCCGAGAGAGACTTGGGGCGAGCCTTGACGCAGTCTAAGAGAGTCTTGGGTCAGCCTTGTGATTAGTCTTGGGGACTTTTCCCCAGGGCGCTGTGTCTTACAGAGTGCTCGACAGACCAACTAAGACGAGAGCTGAAACGTATTTCGTTGTGTGTGTCTTATTTGACTGTCAAGTATAAGTGACTTCCCCGATCCCGTACCTCAAGGGGACGAGATAGAGAGACGAGACGACAAGTGTGGAGAACCCGAGAGTAGAAAGAATTTCCCCGTGATAGGACTATCATACTTTCTAGTTGCTTCATTTTTAGGTCATGCCGGTCGGTCGCAATCTATTCGCTGCTCGGATAAGGCTGTTTGGTACCTGTTGGCTGTAGGCTGGGCAGTCGGGACGTGTTTTTTAACGTTAGCCTTCTCAACAATGTCCACAGCAGAGCGACATATATTGTTAGGGACAATAGTTTTCACCTCAACCATTGCTGTTCAGTACTCTTCGTATTGTACGAGTAACCATTGCTATCGACTAACATTGCTTTCCCTTTTTAAGAAGCGCTCGGCATGACATAATACGTAATTATGTCAACTTCCCCGGTCTGTGGCGGCAACTTGAAGTTTGGGAGTTTCCAATATATTCGACAATTAAGTTCACAATATTGACACTGCCTGTGGGGATCGAGTTGTGTGTTTGTGGGATTGATGTAGCGATTTTAACATAACGAGGCCGTTATAAAATATCAGTAGGACTGATATGAGATGATGCGATGCGATACAGATTATCAGTCGGACTGATGTAGCGATTTTAACGTAACGAGGCTGATATAATATATCAGCGAGACTGTTACAAGACAAGACGATACGATACGGTATATCAGTGAGACTGATATAGCGAGTTTAACGTAACGAGGCTGTTATAAAATATAAACGGGACTGATATGCGCAACACGATACAGATTATCAGTGGGACTGATATAGCGATTTTAACGCAACAAAGCTGTTATAAAATATCAGCGAGACTGATATAAGATGATCTGATACAGATTATCAGTGGGACTGATATTACGATTTTAGCGTAACGAGGCTGTTATAAAATATCAGTGAGACTGATATAAGACGATGCAATACAGATTATCAGTGGGACTGATGTGGCGATTTTAACGTAACGAGGCTGATATAAAATATCAGTGGGACTGATATGTGACGATATAATACAGATCATCAGTGGGACTGACATAACGATTTTACCTGTGGGATATATCGATAGTCGTTTTCTGAGCTAAAATTAAAAAAACGAATGCCTGTTTTGAGAAATTATTAGCAGCTGGGACATCCAAGTCATGCATAGCGCCATCTTGAATCAAACTCAATTCACTCGGTTCACGCGCTTTAAAATCCCATTGTTATGTATGTTTTTAGTAAATAAAACCATTATCTGCTTGCCAGCCATAGCCTGCTACACGATATCATGCATATTTCTCAGGATCTGCAACACTAAATAAATAAACAAAAATCATTTTGATGTCATGTTTTAAGAAGATGCAGCCATATCAAATTTTGATTTGGACCATACCATTTTAAAGCTGCATGGTGTCCAAACAACGACTCAACAAATAATGAAACACATCTTCCACCCACCACAAAAAATGTAGCCATAATTGAAAAACTAAGAATACAACAAATATCAGGCTGCATCCTGAAAAAACAACATAGCACATTAAAACCAATCATTACAAATCCTCCATCCCTTCCAATACACCCTACAGCATTAATGGTTCCTATACTCTTTTGCATCTATGTACAACAAGCTTAGCCAATAGATGCACCTAAGTCATCAAACTTTTGACCAACCACTCATTCTAAATATTGTTGAGATCAGAAGACATTTTGATGAAGCCCGACTCCACACGACAGTAACAATTACTTAATCACGTATAGTAATTTAACTTTGATCCTGTCACATTCTCCTACATGATTGCTTATCTGGTGGGAACAAACAAACTACCTCTGAGTAAAGGCATAACGGTCACTGAGTAAGCACATTCAAAAACAATAACATTTAATATTTATGTTAATGACTGAAAGCTAACTTTGGAAAGACTTACTTTCTTCATATGCATAATATGTTATAAAAAATGCCAATCTTATTCTACAGCATATTACTTTGTAATATATATAACTTATGAAATAATGGTCATAACATATTCTGAAAATGATCACAAAAGAAATTAATATTGATTTACGACGTTTAAGGTGAATTTCACATATGTACATGTATATACATTATAGAACAATCACAATTTAGTCCTACAGAATCATATTCAGATAGTTTGCTTCTTCGATGACGTCCCTCATCGTCAGCAACGTTGAAAAAGCTCAATGTCTAAAAGATGTAAATTGTGTATTATCTAACAACATTGATAACGTTCACATAATATTTAACTTCAGCACAGTTCTAGAAGCCGAACCTACACACGAATTGGTTACGTCACAAATCAATCAGGGTCGTTTCATCGGGATATACGAATTGGTATATACAAGCTACAATAAAGATACTTAACACATTACACATAAGTTAAAACAAATCACGTGACAATATAATGATAGTAACGGTAATAAATCCTAGCTTAACCGTTGAACAGAACCATCATATAGTCAGTGGGGTCACGCCAAGGGTCACGCATTTCGTTGGAAAATGGCCGTGTGGTTGAAACTGGGTTATGGCGTGACGAGCGGGAAAGACATCATTGAACACTCACAAAGTCACAATAAAACATGAAAGTGGTTGCATATTACGGCGTAGCCAACATGGGAAATAAAAAAAACGCACAATACAAACGCCATGGGTTCTAATCATACTAGATACACACTCACATGAAACTAAGCGATTGGAAACCTGGAATCGTTTTGGCTCAACGTAACATTGAAGTAGTTAGCAAAATGAACACAACTCAAAGACCAACGTAAATAAAGAACGTCGCGAAAAAATATTAAACCTCACGAAACTCCACCATGCAAAAATGAATGAATAAATAATAATAATAAGTAACCTGTAGAATGCTGTGTGGGTAATATTTTTTTATTTATTTTTGTTGCATTTACAGCAAATAGTTACCAAACAATGAGAAATATATTGGATTGGATATATCTCTCAGCTGGCTTCAAATACATAGTTCAAACCTGCCTAACCAGTGCTTATACCAGGATTTAGTTACAGCACATAGACGGTATGTGGTTACAGCTTCATGTTCCGAGTAATCGCAAGAAATTGACATGAAAATAAAAAAATAAAAGACTGGCACTCCCATGCAATTAATAGCAAGTGAAATTCCTAGGATTGAAACATGGATTTTGAAGTCACGGATGTAGGCAATGAATAACTTCAAGTTGGTATAAAGACGAGGTAGTTTATTTAACCAGTGCTGAACTAGAAGCTGAAATTATAATTAAGTTCCTTGTCATATAATTTGTTTATTTCAATTTCTCCTGAAGTCAAATAGAATACATCGGTGAATTGATGTTTTGGGGTCATATAATTTGTTCATTTCCAACTCTTATGAAGTCACATAGAATTTCACTTAATTTATTTTAGTTTTCAAGCATTACGTGTGAATCCAAATTTCACTGTGCTGTGTCAAGTCTCAATAGAGTATGAGGGAAATGGCATTTTCATTGGAATTTATTTAAGCGGAAAAATGTTTACAGTGAAAATGAAATATTTCACATTATTACATATGTACTGCAGTTTATTTTGATTAGTCCCTGAAATCAAAATCGGTATTTCCACACCGCATATGCAAATGAGGTCTGAGAGCAAACAAAGTAGTCCTTTCAAGAGTAGCGTTTTTCGAAACATAGCAGAAATAAACTATATTTAGAAGTACGATATTTTAACCTTGGGTAAATATACTTGCCGAGTGAAATAAAATATGAACAAAACTAATGGTACTTCTAGTATGCAATAATGTTTTTGGTATTTTAACGGTCAATATGCAAATGAACATAGTATTGGCGATCCGCTCCACTGGAGCCATTTAAATCACTTTTGTGTGTCTTGGCTTGGCCGATTTACCCACCGTTGCCATAGCAACAGCCAAAAAATGTATCTCTCCAACAAATTTAGTATACAACACCTCAGACATAGCTCATTTTACTCAGCTTGAGTGTGGGCACAAAGTTACTTTTCCTAAAATCTGAAAACAAATTCTGACCACCGTTTTCATGGCAACATCCAAAAACTGATTTGTTTAATACCTTCACGCCAAATGTATCACGCCCTACATTTCTATGATTAAAAAGCACGGACGTAGCTCATTCTACTCAGTTTGAGTGTGAGCAACAATTTACTGTTTTTTTATATCTATTACCGAGAAAATGAACCCCAACGTTGGAGTAACTTTTCACCAGCAACAGCTTTTAACTCCTCTCTGAGATTTTTTTGGATTGGCTAATTTTGTTCATACTTGACAAGCAGGTCGTACCGTCATTAATTGGAAAAACAATCCTGGCCCACAGCTACCATGGCAACAGCCAAAGACTGTTTTTTTAATACTTTCGTTCCAAATTTATTAACTCCTACCAGTCTTGTAATAGTATCAGGGGAAATTCTTCTCTCTGGGGTTCTCCACACTTGTCAGGGGGAATCTCGTCTCGTCTCTCTCTCTCGCGTCCTCTTGAGGTATGGGATCGGGAAAGTCACTTAAGCTTTACAGTCAAATAAGACACACACAGCGAAATACGTTTCAACTTTCGTCTTAGTCGATCAGTCGAGCACTCTATAAGACACAGCGCCCTGGGGAAAAGTCCCCAAGACTATCGCAAGGCTGACCGAAGACTAGCCCAAGACTGTGTCAAGACTCGCCCCAAGACTCTCCAGGACTGGACTGCGTCTGTCGTGCTGTACTCGCCAAGACCAACTAAAACAACTTTATTCATTTTCAAAACTCTAACCAATTACAAAGCAGAAAAAAGA